AGACAGAGTGAAATTTAGAGAAATACTTCTGAAATAAATACATAGCATGAGATTAATAATAGATTGCACATTGTAAATTAATTATTTACTAACTTAAATGAATATAATAAAAATGTACAGGATAAAAATGAAGAAAGAATTTACAGATCAGTCATATAATAGTTCATTCTGTGCCAAAATCAATAAATTTATATTCATATAATTAGAATTCTCAAAGTGGAAAAAGGTAGGCAATAAATATTCAAAGATTTAAAATTTCAGAATTTAGTTGAAATTATAGCACCACATTTCCAAGAAAAATGAACCTCTTTCACAAGAAATTTGAATAAAATCATTCCAAGATAGACAAAAATTGTCTAAAACTAATTGTAAAGAAAAAATCATTAACACATATACATAAAAAATACTGGGGGGCCTGCCCCTTAGCTCAGTCCTTTAAGTGGCTGCTTCAACAAAGCAGTCAGGCTCAGGTTGCTGTGGTTCGATCCCCACAACTCAAGCCAGCCAAACCTGCCCTGAGGGCATTCGGAGAAATAAACAAATAAATAAAAAATATTAGCTGTGGAAGAACACAATTAAATAGCGTCTTATTCCACATTAGGAAAAAAAAAAAAGCAAGTGGGTAAGAAACTAGACTAATTAATTCAAAGGACTAAAAGAAAAAAAAGGATCTGTCCTCACTGAATTTTGTGCTTAGTAAACATACCTTTGAAAACTAAAAGTAAAATATTTTTCAGTTATACAAACTCGAAATATTCTAATCCCTCCAGATGTCACATATAGAAAATGACAAAGAGCATAATCCAGAAGGCAAGAGAAGTTGCTGTGTGGTCCTGGATAAAGAATAAAGAGCTCTCGGGCCAGGGAGATAGCTCAGTGGAATAAGTGCTTCCCTGGCAAGCACAAGGGCCTGAGTTCAATCCCCGGTTCTGAAAAAAAAAAAAAAAAGGATAAAGAGCTCTCAAAATGGTAGTTATGCAGGACTATGTAAACCCATTTAAAAGGTCATTGAAGATTTCTACAAAACAATTTCAATCTTTTTTTTAAATTTCTTTTTGCAGAACCGGGGATTGAACTCAGGCCCTTGCGCTTGCCAGAGAAGCACTTATTTCACTGAGCCATCTCCCCAGCCCAACAGTTTCAATCTTATGTCAGAATATATATATATATATATTCGTTTGTGTGTGTGTGTGTGTGTGTGTGTGTGTGTGTGTA